CGGTCAGGGTCCATTGTCCTTGATTGGCAGTCCCCTCCGGCTTGGGTTGTTCCCTCCCCGTTACGTGCAAGCTCGAGGGTTATGTGCAGCGCGTCGTTCTTTTTTCGCTGCCTGCAGCCCCGTTCATTGTTGGGTCGCGCTGTTATCAGTGTATAGTTAAAGCTTCCGCTGCGGTTTTCCTGTTTGGCAGGTGGCCCATTAATTAGCGGCGCTTTCAATTCCTCTTTTCCTCGCTAGCTACCGCCGGTGGAGTTCGCGTGATCTGGCTGCAAGCTTCCCTGAAGCCCCGTGCTGACCGAACCTGACAGGGCTTACCTGTTGGATAATATGGGGTTTCAACCAAGCCTGTCTCACACGAGCACAAAGGGAGGGGTGGCTCCGCTGTGGCCTAGCTTTGCTGTTTTGTGTGGGAGAGGCTTGGATCCCACCTTTTTCCTGTTTCCCTCATTTTCTTTCTCTTCTCCTCATGGTTCTCCATGAGGTAGGAATGAATCCTCTCCTCCTCATGGTTTTTGTACTAACATTTCACAACCCCAACATTGGGTTATGGGCCCAGTGTATCAACCCAGTGTAAGGAATGCCCCGTTCGTCAAGAGAAACTCCCGTGACACGTGTATAGCACAAAGAGGTTTACTCAAGCATAACGCAACAGTTATAAAGCCAGGATTGGCTTGGCACATTTCTTGTTACAATATATAGCTCTCCCCTTCCTGCGCTTCGCCCCTTCGTCAAGTTACATGTTGTGGGTTGTCGGTGCCCCAATAATCCCCCTTAATGGTCCGAATGGCAGGTTCAACCAGTATCCCATTGTCCCTTGATTGTCTGCCCCTCCGGCATGGGCTTGTTTCCTCGGGGTCCTTTCAGCTGCGTGCAAAGCCAGGGTTTTCTCAATTGCGCAGTGATCGCCTTTCTGCGGCTTGTGGCTTTGCCCTTTGTCTCGGCGCATGCCGCTCATCAGAGTGGATACAATACATCCACTCTGTGGTTTCCTTGTTAAGTGGGCGCAGGTGGCCCATTAATCAGCCGCGGCTCTCACTTCTTCTTTTTCCCCGGCTTGTGAGCGGGCAGAAGAATTGGCTCGGCGCGGCTGGCCGGGTTTCCTAGCAGTGCCGCGTCGGCTGAACCTGACACCCAGGTTTCTTTGGCCTAACAGCCAAGAAACTGCTTGCACATTTTAAAAAAAGGCTCAGTTCAGATTTTTTCTTTTTCTCTCCTTTTAACAATGGAGAGGGAGGAGGGGCTTCCCCCCATCCCAAA